TCCCTTCAGTCCTCAAGCCGAGGCTCTATCCACTGAGCCAAACCGGTTAGGGCTATATAGTTTAAGTTTACAAAATGTGGCTCTCAAAAGAAATTTCAGTCGTTGTACTGTTGATATTTGCTTTGCTGACTAATGAGTTTGCTAGGGGATCTGGGAGATGAAATGAGATGAGGGTGGCACAGGTCACGGAGCCGTCTATAACCTGAGAACTGTGGGTACACACACAGGAGCTTTTCCTGCCACCCTCATGGGGCCACTACCCCTGGGAGTTGGAAGACCCAAGCGAAGGAAGGGCAGCGGCTCTCAGATCCCACACCAGGCCCGGCCCTGCCTCCCAAACCGGCGCAGCAGCTTCAAGCTGCCCGGCTGCCGCTGGGTTACAGGCAGGGCCTCCAGGCTGGGGCAGCAGGCCTTGCCCCATGGGGCCCCTGGCCTGTGACCGAAGGGTCTAAAGGGAAGGCCTGCAAGGCGGGACCAGACCCCCCGCTGCCCAGGGCCACCTGCCCATTTAACTAGCAGCTACAGTGTTCTGGGAACATGGGCATTTCACCCCTCCCGGGTCTCATTTAAGGCCTGGCTGGCAGCCCTGGACTCAGGTCCAGAGACCAGGGTTCGAGGCCCAGCTCAGGACTTCAGGGGAGAGTCCCCACCTTTCTCAAGTGCATGAGGGTGGTCCCTTTCACGCCTGGGGAGGAAATGAGACAGGAGAGGCTGTCACTGCTTCAGGTACGGGACCGGCGTTCCCTGGGATAATCCTCCCTCCAGCCCTCAGCCACAGGTGCTGGCAGGAAACTGAGGCCCAGAGAGGACCAGTAACTTGCCCCAGGTCACACCAAAGCCAGCCTCGGAGGCCCACGCTCATGACAAGTGGCACTGTTGTCCCTGCTTCTCAGAGAGATTAAGTGACTTGCCCGTGGTCACGCGACAAGTCGGGGTGGAGCCAGGATCCAAACCCAGACCTGTCAAGCCCCAAGAATGGCTCCTCTCAAGCCGCCTCCCAGGGCAGGTGCCCTCTCTGGGCCCCAGTCACAGAGCCGAGCCCAGATCCCCACTGACCCCCCACAATCCGATATCCTCTCTCCACGGTGAGGCCCCAGCTGCCCAAACCAACAGGCCGCTCCACCCCCTCCTCAAACACCCACCATGGCTCCCCACTGCCTACACTCAAGGCCCCACTGATGACCACACCACCAGCCACAAGCCCTTCTTGCCTTAGGCCAGTGGTCGGCAAACTGTGGCTCGCGAGCCACATGCAGCTCTTTGGCCCCTTGAGTGTGGCTCTTCCTAAGCCTTAGGAGTACCCTCATTAAGTTAATAACAATGTACCTACCTATATAGTTTAAGTTTAAAAAATTTGGCTCTCTTGCCGAAACCGGTTTGGCTCAGTGGATAGAGCGTCGGCTTT